GTGACGATATATACTTTTTTCTCAGTGAGAGGTGAGGTTAAATTGTGTTAGAGACTGTAATAAGTCTTTAATTCTAATACTTTAAATGAGGTAAATGGCTAATAAATACATAAATAAAACTAGTATAGAAACCCAATCGCCTCCTTTTTGAGAACAGATTTCCATTTATGGTAAAACTATTGCAGATGACAGAGGTTAAAAGTTCCAAAAAAAAGAAAAGAGTAAGTGGATTGTAACGCTTTCTCTTTACTCATGAAAACAAAGTTCTCAAGAAGGTCCATTAGAATGCAAAACACACAAAGAGACAAACTCCTATTTGTCTAAGAAATGCTATATAGAAAACAGAGAGAAAAATCATTCTAATAATGTTCTGATAGAACCCAAGCCAGCTTATATTCCAAAAGTTCTTTGTGTGAGTGGTCTGTAGCTTGAATGTAATTTCCCATAGAAACAAAACTTTTAAAAAAAAGTATTTATATGCCCAAGCAGGTCCATCATCGATAATTTACCCCATATAGTTGAAAAAGCAATTACGTGGTATACAGTAAAGAAAAAAGAAAAGAAGTTGCCTACTCATTCTCACATTGGGCTAGATAGAATTGGTCTTTAACCTCCAAAGCACTTCATGCTTCAAAAATGTCACATCCTCTTCTCTCTGCAACCCACCTCCTTTTATTTAACCCATTTTACCCAATTAAAAATTTCCAATTTTCTCACTGGTCATCTCTATACCACAACATATTTACCCATTCTACTATGGACACTTACTGCAAATAATGCTGCTATATACATTGTTGCATGTTCCTTTTAATGTACTTATTCCTGTTAGGGACTACACCTGGGAGAGGAACTGTCAGGTCACAGGATATATGTCTCTTCAATTGTAGCTGATACTCCCAAATAGTTTCCAAAGTTGTGACGCCAGAAGTTTCTGACAGTTCCCATTCCTCCACCTCCTAAACAACACTTGCCATTGTCAGAGTATAATATCGGCCAATCTGGATAGTATAAAACAGCATCTAATTGTAGTTTTAATGTGTATTTTTTTCTGTTTACTAATGATGCTGAACTAACTTCCCATCCCCTCCCCTCCCCTCCTCTTCCCTTCCCCATTTGGATATCTTCTATCTTTCCCTTTTGTGTAGCCTGTCTTTTCACCCTTTCAGTGATATGTTTTAATGAACAAAGGTTCTTAAATTTAATGAAGTTCAAGTTATTAATCGTTTTCTTTATGACAGGTATTTTGTGCCCTGTTTGTGAAATCTTTGCTTATCTCTCGATTATGAATATAATCTCCTATGTTATCTTCTCTAAGCTCTCAAGTTTAGAACATCCCAACTGGAACGTACTTTTGTGTATGGTATGGGGTGAGAATTTTTTTTTCTATATGATATATATCAGTCATAATTTAAAAAAAAATACAACGTAGAATTTCAGCCAGCACAAAAATTTTAAAAGCAAAACATTTCAGGGAATAAAGAAGAAAATACAAAGATATAATTCTTCCTCACTTTCCATCCCCTTCCACCTAAGGAAAGTGGATGAAGGTGGATGAAGGAGTTGTGTCATGTCTATATTTGAGCCCAACTTGGAGTTTGCTCAGATAGCTTTCTCGTATTTAGCAACAATAACAACAACTGTAACAGCAGTTAACATTTATTGCATGCTTACTAGGTGTAAGTGCATTATCTCATGTAATTCTCACAATAACCCTATGAGATGGATACTACTGTCCCTTCTTAATAAATGAGGAAACTGAGAAAGGAAAGATGTTACATAATCAGTCCCCAAGTTCTTAACCTCTGCCTCTCTCATAACTTCTATTTCTGAACTCACAGATTCTCCATCATGCATATGTGCTTTCATAACAACTTTCATAGATTGAGATAACAACAAAACATGCCTTCCTTCCTATTTTTTTGTTTTTGTTTTTGGGTTTTTTTTGCGGTACACGGGCCTCTCACTGTCGTGGCCTCTCCCGTTGCGGAGCACAGGCTCTGGATGCGCAGGCCCAGCGACCATGGCTCACGGGCCCAGCCGCTCCGTGGCATGTGGGATCTTCCTGGACCGGGACATGAACCCGTGTCCCCTGACTCGGCAGGCGGACTCCCAACCACTATGCCACCAGGGAAGCCCCTTCCTATCTACATACAAAATGTAAATAATCATGTATTCATATTTGGTAGTATAGAAAAAATAAGAGAATCAAAAATGTCTTCTGAAAGTGACATGGAAACAGTTATGGTTAGCACTAATGTAATTCTGTGGCTTAGAGAATTTTAAAAGACAAGTCAGTCACTAAAATTGAAGTCTATATGGCTGCCTTAGAATGCCTCATAAATCTAAAATACGTTAACTGAAAAAACCTGTTTCTAGATTGAAACCTGCAGAAAGTTTATTACTTTGTTTGCTATAATAACTTAGGCATATTTTTATATTATTCTACTTGGGTCCTAGCCTATATTCCTTACATAGCTTTTAATGTTACAAGGAAAAAGGAAGATATACTAAAATTTTTGAAAAAGAAAAAAAATCTATTGATTCACATAACTTTTACAGAATGCAAGAACTTAAAGGATTCTTAGAAATATCTGCAGGTACTAATTTTACTAAATGAGAAAGTGAGGCCCACAGAAACTTGTACCAGATGCCAAGGACAGTAAAGGTCAGAATTACAATGGATATAACTGGGGATATTAACTTGAATCCCTCTTAAATAATCTTCATAAATCTATTTCTATGAAATTCTAAAAATTATTTATGACTTCTTTGAGTTTTATTTTCCCAGGTGTTGTTTTTACCCTAATTTACAGGGAAAAAACAGATTTAAAATCTTCATTTTATTTCTCTGTTCCTAACCCTCAGCAATAAGACTACCCAATCTAGCTGATATGTGAAAGGAAAAATAATACAGTCTCTGACCTTCCTCCTTTGAGACCAATGTAAGAACACCCAGGATCTCTACATGCTCTCTGGAGACTGCAGATCCCTGTGCCATCCTACTGTTAGAGAAAAGGCAGAGAAGGCACTCTACCACCATCCTGGATGCCAATCAGAAACAAAGGGTAAGAAGAGTTAGTAGTGGTTTTTATCACTGCCCATTTTCTAAGTATCTGACAAGAGCTTTGAGGCCATCCATGCCAGCATAAAAAGCACCCGTGCTGCCACTGAAGGCAAATCATCTTCGAATCTGTCTTCAAAACAATTTCCAACAGTATCAGAATTACATCACCTTCCTAAGGAATCAGAAATATGAGCGACACAGACTTAGGGCGCCAAAGATTACAAAAGTAACTTTCATTTATGGCCTCCAGGAAAATCGCTAGGGGCAAGAAAGGCAGGTAAAACAAAAAAGAGTGGCAGAAAGGCTTAGAAAGGAGGAAATGAGTGGGTTTTTTTAATTCATCACATTGTTTTTAATAAGCTAAATGAGATATTCCCCAGTTACAAATATTAAGGACACCCCCAAGGAAAGCTCTATTAATAGACCTGTAACACTAAAAAGTATCTCCTTTTGAAATGCAATTTTTTCAAACTTCAAGAATAAATTTTTATAAATGTGTACTACAATATATGAAATTAAATTCAGTAAGAACTCTAAATATTTCAATACATCTCAAATTTTAAATAATTTTATTAAATTTTACTATAAATCAATGAATTGGAATAAATCCATCTATTTTTTTTAAAGGATCTGAGAACGTGTAACGAAAAGAAACTCTGATGTCAGCAGATAAGAGTTTTTTGCTACTAAAGAGGGTAAATCACAGTGAGTTACAGATATATTTTAATTTACACACATCAAGCAAAGTATTAACATAAAATGCAGATATAAAAGCAATTATTTTCCATTTTCAATTTACTTACCTGACTACAAAAGTTCTTGTTTATTTTACAAAGAAAAGCTGGAAATTCTAATTCATTTCAGAGGCAGAACCATCATTCCATGGAGTTCAAGTAGAAGAAAGATTTGCTACTGAAACTTCCCACAGTGAACCACACTTAAATACCTAGATCTTCCACTAGCACATGTGGCTATTCAACAGTGTGGTAGCAGTAAAGAAAAAGCAGACTTGGTCTCTTTCCATGGCATGCCCATGTAGCTTTCTTCTCTCTCTTCTTGTCTCCTGTCTTCATCCCCCCTCTCCCCACACCCTCTCCATATCTCCTAGCCTCAAAGGGCATCACAGTCTCCCAAAGAATCATGAGGGACACGGGTCTCATGTGTATTAGACAAGGACTAGCCCTCCTATAACCCTCACCACCCCCCGCAACCAAAACTATATGACCATTGCTGCAACTGAGGCTTCCTCCAAATGCTCCAGAAGTAGGGCTTCAGTTTAAATCAGATTTTTATAAAACTGCTCCATTCCACTATTCAAGGTAATATCATGGGGTTTATTTTCCTACCAAGACAGTATTTTTGAAACCAGAAATAAGACTGCATTAACTTTATAGGACTCAGAGCTATTGTTTTTATCACTCAAACAAAAAACTAATATTATCAAAAATGTAATAATAATCAAGGTTTTCCTTCTGATTCATTAATTAGATAGTTTTCCTGTGTTACTGTTGTAATCTATAAGACACATTCTCAGAAAGATTTATTTCAGTGAAGGAATGTTTTGTATTTTAAAAACCCTATAAATATCAGTTTAATGATACAAAATGAACTTAACACTTATCTTTCAATGTCACTAGACAAATGAAAGGAAAAAACTGCTACTCCTAGGGGGAGGGAAGCCAAGCCCATGTATGTCTGCACTCTTATTTTCCTCATCTTAATAAGCTAAAAGAAAAAACCACAAACATAAATCTAGTTGCTCCATAAAATACTCTGGGAGGGTAAGGGTAAAAGTTCTATAAAGGTAGTCTTTGAGCTAAGTAAAGTCTTTCTGTAAAGCAGTTTTTAATTTTCATAGGTTCAGGAGCCTGAGGCTGTCATGTACATATTACTTCGGCATTTTTGAAGGTGATTCTGTTTATGAGACTCCTCCTACCTGTCTCTGAAGTTCTGCCAGGTTGTAAGGTAAGGCCGCCTCAGCCAATGGGGCTATTCTCTCAATATCTGCCAAAGTCAAGCGCCTTCAGGCAAAAACACAGGAAAGAAAGAACTGTTAGATACCAACAAACTCCTCATACTAAGATCATCTTTCTTCAGAAAAAAAGAGGGTAAAACGAACTATGGTTTAAAAGTAGTATTTCTCTATGCACACAGATCATTTTAGTGAGAGAAATAAAAAAAACTTCAGACACTGCTTGCCACACAAAAAGCAAAAGACTCTAAAGAAATAATGTGGAGTACACAAATTTAATGACTCCAAAGACAGATAATAAAATTAAAGAAATAATTCTTGCCAGAAGCAAAGTATAAACATTGACAGTTCATACACACATGCATTAAATATGCATAAGTGCAAAGTCTCTTGAGAAGGATAAAAATAAGTGATAAATACTGGTTGTCTTTAAGGGGAAAAGGGAGAAGGGTAGAAGGGAAACATTTTTACGGCATGCTCTTTTAAACTCTTAAGAGTTTTGAACTACGCGAATGCACTACTGTTTCAAAAAAATTTTACTTTAAAATAAGTACATTCCCTGAACTGGCTAGTACATCACGTCAGATCCAGTTTTGAGAAGCACTTTTTGAAAGCGTTTATTATCATGGAGGTATAATACCTTTGCTAAAAATGTGAATTCTAGATGGATGAGACATGGCCTGATAGTTCATGTCAATCACCAAAGACGGGCTGGCTTATCCAGTCTCATCTCCAGCTCAACAATTCATTATGTAGCAGGAAGGTAATAAATCATCTATGTACACTCAACTTCTATTAGTCTTCAGTTCTAGGGTTAAAACCCATTTTTTCAGATATGCCTACACTTAAGTAACTACTACAGGTGACTAATAAAATCTGATCACTTAGCAGATCACACAGGTCCTACTGGTGCCCAAAGACAAGGGTTTTTCGTCTGGATTTGCATGAGATTTTGCAAATTAAATACTCTCTATGTGCTTTGGGTTTTCTCAATCAATAAAACAGAGGCATAAAACATCTGAGCTTAACTATGATGATAATGTCACAGGCATATTTCAAGAAAATGATACTCTCCAACACAAAATGGTATACACTGTTTAGTAAAATCCCCATTCACAATGAATCAAAAAGATTATAAGATTCCTGAACATGTACTTCAATTTATTTTAAACTTAGGCAGATGTCCACTAATCACTAAAAATTCCTAACACCTCTAGAGTCCAGATTAAATCAATTTTTCTGTCCCTCTCTTACTTTTTGTCACTTCCCTCTCCCCCTCCTCTATCATTTTTCTTCCTTTCCCGTTTCCCTCTCTCACACCTTACTCCCTTTCAACCGCTTACTCCCTTTCTTTTCACCCTCTCTCTCCATTTCTTCCCTCCCTTTTTTCTTCCCCTCCTCTCTCTTTTTTCCCCTCTTGTCCTCTTTCCCTTTCCCTCCCTCCATCTCCCCCTATCTTTAGTCTGTCTTCATCTGTCTCTCCTTCCTCCCCTGTTTCTCTTATCTGTCTCTCTCTCTTTCTTGAAATGTATATACTGAATAAACTATTGTTTAAAAGAACACCACTGCTTCACGTTAAAATAACTGTCCTAAAAAATATCATGAAGAATTATTGGAATAGTTACCCTGTAGCATTATATAAGTCTGCAAGCTGGTACAGGATATCAATTTCTAGTGGGGTGACTTGTCCATAGCGTATGGCACTCTGGGCAAATTCCTCTGGAAGAAAAAGAAAATATTTTAAAATCTTAGAAGATTCTTAACATATAACAAACTTCTACCTTAACCAACTACTATCTGAAAGCTAAAAACATTTCAGTATTATTTTAAAAGGCTAAAACTGAATTTCAATGTCTAAGTTCAATTATATAGAAATAACCACAAAAGTATGAAAGGTGGCAAAAGATAAAATGTTAAGATGATGAAACAGTAAAAGCAGATAAAGATAAATTAGCTTCAGAGATAAAACAATCTCTTTAGGATCCTCTCTCTTGTCTTGTTTATTTGATTTGGTCTCCAGAGTTACAAGACAAAAGAATTGGCTCTTCTCCAGTCACCTAAAACTTCCCACTACAATTCAGCAAAAGGAGTAGGCTTGCCCATCTTTCTGTGGCAACTCCTTCCTCATACAAACAAGCCACTGCCACTAACCTGTTTGACAGACTGGGCCAAGGTTCTTTTCAAAACTGTCAAAGCCACTTTTCCATTCCTGACCTCAGCATCCCATTAAATCCACCTGAACTTCTGGAGACCATTATGACCCAAGTGAAGCATACATACATGGTAACATACTTTCTAGACCTGGCTTCAGAGTAGTAAACTTAGACCAACCTCATTCCCTAGATAAAGTGAAAATGCTGAGATTCGAATCAACGTATATTTTAAAAATCTTACCCTTTGTGACTTCAACATCTTTCCTTGTGCCAGCTAGAGTGCTATATATCTTACGAACAAGCTCCATGTTATTCAGTAAGGAGTTAAATGCATTGAAGTACGAGAAGCTAACCTGGTGTGAGATACTTCCTCCAGCTGCCTAGGAAATGACAACACAGAAAGTTAAACAAACAAACAAAACCAAAAAAATACATTTATGGACACTGAACTTTTCTCAAAGAAGATCCAAAGGAGTCTTCATTACTAAAATGATTAACAGCCAGTCCATAAATACAAGGAAGGTATCGTGCTAAAACACTGTCAGTGTGTTTCATGCCCTCAAGGAAGTCTATGTAATTTAGGTGTTAAGGAAGAAAGCAACATCTGGAAGTTGGACTTCATGGTTCATCTACCTATAAGGTCAAAAACAACAAATACAATTATCACAGATCAAAACCAATGATTATTTAAACAGGATTTTCAAGACCTTCAACTATGGAACTCCTGCTAGTTCTGGATAATCCAAACCTCAATGTACAATATAAGGAGCATTTTTTAAACTTGCTTTTTTCCCCACACACATATACAAAAACCAGTGGTAACTTTAAATTTTAAGACTATTTCACTATGTCAACTCTCCTAATCTTTTCCTTTTTAAGTTTATTGTTATAGTTAAGATATAAAACGTCCATGCTAGGTTCTGAATCTCTATCACAAAAGGTACAACTACCAAAAGCTCCAAAAGATGTAGAGAAAATCTAGGGATATAAATCATGTCTTTAGTAGAATAGCGCTAAAGAGGCTCTCTCATGCCTGGGGAAGGATGGGGGACAATGTGGCCTTCATTACCTCTACAGGGTGAGGAAGTAATTTCTCCCTCTGTCCAACACTTGGACATAGACTCAAAAGTGAATATTTTTCGTAGCTTGCAAAAGCCTAATTTCTAAGCCAAGAGGCAGAGGAACCCAGATGATTAAAAACATTCTCTATTAAAAACTCAAAAGAAATACTCATAGAAATACCAGTGTGACAACGTTAATCATAAAGGTCTACATTAAGGACAGTATAGGTAATGCTGGGCATATGTTCCCACCCCCACCATCCCTCACACACATGCATTAACCTAAATATATATGATATTTGTATTAGCCTGAATTTGGATACCAGCGACCCAAACGCCAGACTCAAATTATTTAACACGTTCCTCCAGAAATTGAGACGGCATTTGGTAAACTGAGGCTGTAACAGGTCTATCTAACCCAACTGGAAAAGATTAGATGGGACCCCTCACCCCAAGGCACTGAGTCCTTCTCTCTAGGATTTTCTTTCCTTCTTCCCTCCTTCTCTCCCTTTCTTTCTTTCCTTCCTTTCATTTTTTGGCTGGGGTACGAGGTGAGGGTAGGGGAGTGGGAGATGAGTGTCAAGGAGGTGAAATGTGTAGGAGAAAGTGACATGCTCCATGTTCAAATTCACTGAAGAAAAAGAACAGAAGTTGATCTTTCTACCCCCAGTCTGAATAAGGGATAATGATCTTCAGCTGAAACAACAAAAGCACTCATTGGCTTCCCTCCATTTAAAACAAGCAGCAATCAAAAACTTATACATAAGTACAACACATGAACAAGAAAACTGATAAGTGAGGACAGTTTCACCATTCTTTGTGAGGAAGTGGATGACATCAGTTTGCTATTGGTCCAGATGATTGCTTTACAGAGATTAGCAGTGTAGAGAACAAAAAACTGTCTGGTCCATGCAGACTGAATGCACAGGTGAAGGGGCAGAGAGAGGAGTGAGCCACAGAAGCTGACGCCCACATATTTCCTCCATACCTTCTGCCACAGCCATGGTTATTAAAACAGTGTAGAGGCCAGTGATGATTCCTCTAGCAAACAGCACCCTGCTGGCAACAAAGGAAGGAGCCATCCTTATAGCAAGGCTTTGGGAGCCTGGTGGGATGGAAAGAGGCCACAGGTGAAGGCAGTAGTGTCTGAGCGAAGTACTGCCCACTGGAAAAAGTAATTGCACACCCTTGTCTACAAACTCCCCTGTTTTCTTTAGGGGGACTCTGTAAATGGAAATAAACAATTTGGAAATACATGAGAGCAAGATGGTGGTGCTGAAAAAAGCAGCTATGATCTGGGGAAAGACTATTCACTATCACCCCCACCACCACCTCCCTTACACACACCTGTTTACCTACTACTAACCAAGCATAAAGTTGGAATAGTTGAGAGTGAGATAGGCCCAGGGATGCAATCCAGGACAATGGTTTCAAAGGTTTAAGGAAACAGAAAGTTGAAGTGGTTGCTTTTTACTTACTGAAACTAAGTTCTCCTCCACAAAGGGAGTAAGCATGTGAGACCGAATGGTAACCATGATGTCACTGAAATCCAGACCAGAAATCATGCCACTTTTGCTTTTGTCTTTCAGTGCAAAGGCTTGTCTTGCATGTTCCAATTGTAGTTCCTGGAGGGAAAGTTAGAAATGGGGCCTTAGGTTAACTAAAGCACATCCCGAGTGTATGTTTTAGAAAAGAAAGATAGACATCCTTCCCCTACATGCATTTACTACAAAAATGAACAATATACAGCTCTGAATGTACAACAAAACTCTTCATTTTTTTTTAAAAAGCACGTTTTCCTGAAAATATACTACATGTTACTCCTCAGGAAAAGTGAATCACAGAATGTCAATAAAGAAAAGGGAGGAAAAACAACCTTTGTTTACTTGAGAAGTTTTCATCACTGAAAACTTTTCAGAGTATCTTTTCAGTGCTTTAAGTTCTACCTTTAAAATAACTAGTAACTCTCCTGCTTGAAGGCATTCTTATCATCCAAGAGTACTTTCTGAATTACAGCTGGCTCTCCACATCCGAGGGTTCCGCATCTGCAGATTCAACCAACTGAAGCTTGAAATTCTAACGTGAAAGTTATGAATAACAAACTGCATAAATAGTGTTCAGCTATCACTCTGTGTGGCTTTGAGTGATACTCATAAACTGTAGAACAATACAGAAGATCTCTGAACTTTTAAACTACTGGGCAGCTGACTTTTGTAATAGGTGCTATCAAAAAAAAAGGTGCTAGTAATACCCTAAGGGCTATATAAAAGTCAAAATTTAGAGCATTTCTGCCCTGAGGACATATGACATAATCCAAATAAATCTGTTATCACAACATAATAATAGTGCTATTAGATGTCATTTTCACACTATTTGCAACTCCGGAAATAATATTCCTATCTAAATATATAAATATTATTCACAAAGTGAAATAATTGTAATTTAATATTGTAAATATTGTAATGGCAATTTGCATTGCCATTCATTTATAAAAGCCTACAAATCAATGTTGATTTACCCTTTTCTGACATTTAAAATAGCTTTTGATAGAAGTTTCACCCTTTTACTAATTAATTATATTTTTCTATACCTCAATAGTAATTCAAAGACATTAAAATTGCCTTAGCAGGTGTTTGTCTCATAATTCATTAAGTTATACATTTGTTTTATATGGTTTTCTGTATTTGCATGATACTTAACAATAAAACAAGTTTCTAAAATATTTTTCTTAGCAGGTTGATAGGCTAGAGACAAGTATATCAAACCTACTAAATCTTTCAATAATCTTAACTTAAAAAAAATTTAATAACATTGTGGAAAACATCTAAACATTTTAACATCCATCATCACACATGTAAATATTTGAATTTGAAATATTTATAAATATTCAAATATTCTATTGGTCTTGAAAAGACCAACAGAAGTAGAGAAACTAAAAGTCAACTGGTAAAAATGTATGAAAGATAGAGTACAAAATAAACAACCAGCATGATTTGACAGTTTTCTTTCCAACCCCTTCTGCTTTTTAAAAATTTCAACTTATTAAGGTATAATTGACAAATAAAATTATAATACATTTAAAGTGTACAATGTGATGATTTGATATATGTATATATTGTGCAAGGACTCCCACCATTGAGTTAATTAACACATCCATCACCTCACATATTTACCTTTTTTTTTTTGACGAGAGCACTTAAGTTCTACTCTCTCAGCAAATTTCAATTATACAATACAGTATTATCATCAGCATGTTATACCTTAGATCTTCAGATCTTATTTATCTTATAACAAAGTTTGTGCCCTTTTTCCAGCCTCTTCCTATTTCTCCCACCCCCTAGACACTATTCTACTCTGTTTCTACATGTACAACTTTTTTTTTTTAATTCTACATGTAAGTGATACTATGGAGTGTTTGTCTTTCTATGTCTGGCTTATTTCACTTAGCATAATGCCCTCCAAGTTCATCCATGTTGCTGCAAACGAGAGAATTTCCTTTTTTTTAAGTTGAAAAATATTCCATTGTATGAATGTGGAATAATATACATATATATATACATACACACACACACACACACATATATATACACACACCACATTTTCTTTATCCATTCTTTTGTCAATGGACACTTAGGTTGTTTCTACACCTTGGCTACTGTGATAATGCTACAATAAACACAGGAGTACAAAAAAAAAGTAAACACAGGAGTACAGATAATCTCTTTGAGATGATGATTTTATTTCCTTTGGATATATACTCAGAAGTAGGACTGCTGGATCACAGTAGCTCTATTTTAACTTCCTGAGGAACTTCCATACTGTTTTCCATAATAGCTGTACCAGTTTACTTTCCCATCAACGGTGTACACAGGTTCCCTTTCCTCCACATCCTTGACAGCATTTGTTGTCTTTGGTCTTTTTAGTCACAGACATCCTAACAAGTACAAGGTGATATTTCATTGTGGTTTTGATTTGCATTTCCCAGATGATTAGCAATGCTAAGCAACTTTTCATGTACCTGTTGGCCATCTATATGTCTTCTTTGGAAAAATGTCTATTGTGGTCCCTTGCCCATTTTTTAATTGTGTTTTAGTTTGTTTTGCTACTGAGTGGAATGAGTTCCTTGTATATTTTGGATATTGACCCCTTATCAGATATGTAGTTTGCAAATATTTTCTCCCATTCCATAGCTTGCCTTTTCTTTTTGTTGATTGTTTCCTTTGCTGTGCAGCTTTTCAGTTTGATGTAGTCCTACCTGTTTATTTTTGCTTTTGTTTATTTTGTTTATTTTTTAATTTGATGTCAAATTCAAATAATCATTGCCAAGATTGAAGTCAAAGAGCTTACTCTCTCTGTTTTCTTCTAGGAGTTTAAAGTTTCAGGTCTTACGTTCAAGTTTTTAATCCATTTTGAGTTGATTTTTGTGTATGGTTTAAGACAGGAGTCCAGTTTCATTCTTTTGCCTGTGGCTGTCCAGTTTTCCCAACACCATTTATTAAAGAGATTACCCTTTCTCCACTGTGTATTCTTGGCTCTTCTGTCAAAAATTAATTGACCATATATGCATGGGTTTATTTCTGGGCTCTCTATTCTGTTCCACTGAGCTACGTCTGTTTTATGACAATGTCATACTATTTTGAATACTATACCTTTGCAATATAGTTTGAATTCAGGAAGTGTGATGCCTCCAGCTTTGTTCTTTCTCAACATTACTTTGGCTGTTTGGGGTCTTTTGTGGTTCCATACAAATGTGAGGATTGTTTTTTCTATTTCTGTGAAAAACGCCTCTGGAAGTTTGATAGGGATTGCAATGAATCTACAGATCACTTTGGGTAGTATGGACATTTTAACAATATTAACTCTTCCAATCCATGAACACAAAATATCTTTCTATTTATGTCTTCTTCAATTTCTTTCATCAATGTCTTATAGTTTTCAGTTTACAGATCTTTTACTTCCTTAAATTTATTCCTGTTTTCTTCTTTTTAATGTTATTGTAAATGAGATTGTTTTCTTAATTTCTCTTTCCAATAGTTTCTTGTTAGTGTACTGAAATGCAACTCTTTTTTTTTTTTTTGCGGTACGCGGGCCTCTCACTGTTGTGGCCTCTCCCTTGCGGAGCACAGGCTCCGGAGGCGCAGGCTCAGCAGCCATGGCTCAGGGGCCCAGCCGCTCCACGGCATGTGGGATCTTCCCGGACCGGGGCATGAACCTGTGTCCCCTGCATCGGCAGGTGGACTCTCAACCACTGCGCCACCAGGGAAGCCCGCAACTCATTTTTGTATACTGATTTTATATCCGACAATTTTCCTGAAGTCATTTATTAGGTCTAATAGTATTTTGTGTAAGCGTAAAGTCTTTAGGGTTTTCTACATATATTATGTCCCCTACAAGCAAGGACAATTTTAATTTTAATTAATTTAATTAACTTAATTTTTCTCTTTCCAACTTGGAAGGCTTTTATTTCTTTTTCTTGTCTAATTGCTCTAAGGACTTCCATTACTTTTTGAATAACAGTGGCAACAGTGGACATCCTTGACTTGTTCCTGATCTTAGAGAAAAGGCTTTCAGCTTTTCACTACTGAGTATGATGTTAGCTGTGGACTTGTCATCTACAGCCCTTATTATGCTGAGGTATATTCCATCTACACCTACTTTAAGAGTTTTTATCATGAAAGGATCTTGAATTTTGTCAAATGCTTTTTCTGCATCTATATCTATTGAGATGATCATGATTTTTATCCTTCATTGTAGTGTATTAATGTGGTGTATTAGCATATGTTGAACCATCTTTGCATCTCAGGAATTAAGTCCCACTTGATTACTGTATATGATCCTTTTAGTATACTACGGAATTCTGTTTGCTAATATTTGGTTGAGAATATCTGCATCTATCTTCATCAGGGATACCGACTTGTAATTTTATTGTAGTGCCCTTGTCTGGCTTTGGTATCAGGGTAATACTGATCTTGTACAATGAATTTGGAAGAAGTATACCCTCCTATTTTTTGAAAGAGTTTGAGAAGGACTGATATTAATTCTTCTTAAAATGTTTGGTAATATTCATCAGTGAAGCCATCTGGTCCTGGACTTTTCTTCATTAAGAGGTTTTTGTTTACTGATTCAATCTCCTTGCTAGCAACTCGTCTGTTCAGAGTTTCCATTTCTTCATGATTCAGTCTTGGTAGGTTGTATGTGTCTAGGAATTTATCCATTTCTTCTAGGTTTTCTCATTTGTTGGTGTATAACTGTTTATAGTAGTTTCTTACGATCTTTATCAGTTGTAAGGTCTTCTCTTTCATTTCTGATTTTATTTGAGACTTCTTTTTTTCTTAATCTAGCTAAATGTTTGTCAGTTTTGTTTATTTTTTCAAAAAACCCATTCTTGGTTTAATTGATCTTTTCTACTGTCTTTCTAGTCTCTATTTCATTTATTTCTCCTTTGATCTTTGTTATTTCCTTCTACTGACTTTGGGCTTATTAGTTTATTCTCTTTCAAGTTCCTTGAGGTATAAAGGTAGATTGTTTGAGATTTTTCTTTTTTCTTAATGTAGGTGTTTATCACGATAACCTTCCTTCTTAGAACTGCTTTTGCTACATCCTTTAAGTTTTGGCATGCTGTGTT